GAATTACACAGTCCACCTGATGGTGGGTGGATCGGCCATAGATATTTACATCAACACTCGATTAAAAATGGAATGCCTCTCTACTAATAAAAAAGGTCCTCGGTTGCCGCAAAAAAATAACAAACGCCAAAACTTAACATAGCAGCATTATTCTGATGTTATATTCAAGTATTTTGTACAAGCTTGGTCTTTTCTCGAACGAGTCGAGTCAAACCATTCGAGCTGCTGCCATAGTTATAATAAAATTAAGTATTTGGGGGCTAGTTGCTTAAATCAAGAGGGACAAATAACTGGCTATATTTCCCAGATCAGTTACCTCGGTTGACAGTATCCTCCGAGCTTAGAAAAAAACCTCCCTAATTAAGGCTATTCAAGTTTAATATACATATATGATGGTAAAACGCCCTTTTTATATGAATACATCTTCTATTTACAAGTTTTAGTTTCTTTAGCTAGCTTATTAAATTAAGGTTCAACAATATTTTCTTAACTATTGGTAACTTTAGGACAATCCGCCATTGAGACTATCTTCTTGGGAGGCCTATGTTCAGTTGTAAATTTTTTAAGAACTGTAATGAATAAATAAATGAAATAAAGAAAAGGATACTTAATAGAAGTATGCAAATATACATATTTTTGTATTTGCTAATAGTAAATTTAGTAAGTTTGTAACAAAAATATTATAAAAAGGTATTGGGTTAATCATTTATAAGGAAAAACGGAAATTGTGTGTTCAGCGTCGAAATTTTAATAGGATGTTATGAATGAATAAAACCTTGAAGTTGGAACTTAAACTCTTAAAACAATTAAATATTCGTTTAACTGTTTTTAGAAAATAATGTAGAATATATATTTCAACAGATACACAATCAAAAGCTTTTAATTCAAATAAAAGGATTTTGAAATAAAATAATAAACATACAGGGAATGAGTCGCCATCACCAGCAATGCAGTCAGAAGTTGCATTTAGAAACAGTTGGAATTTGGGGCTTTTTAGGTGCTAATTACGTGCCAGGTTTAAAAATTAGGTGCTCTAAAATTTTCACCCCAACAATCTGTTGAAAATTTACGTTGCTAGCAAAACGTATGGCTAGGAAAGCAGCGACGATAATAGATAGTTAATAGATAGATAATAGATAGAGTATACTAAATACATCCTAATGCTTCAGCTTTTACGAAATCTATATATTTGTACATGTAAGAAAAACTTTATACCCCTTTTTAAGCGCGCACTGGAGAGTGTGAGCTTTGGCATACTTAAAGTTTATATGAAGGAGTGCTAAAAGTTACAATATATTTAAAATATGCGTTACAAATACATCAAATTAAATAAAATAAAACGTTAACGTTCATACTGCCAATGTCTCAGAGTAAGTACTGAAGAGTATATAATCAGAGTTTTTTTTGTTTGATATATTAGATATATGTGTTTTATATATTATTATACAGTTGAAAGTTAAATAAAGCTTGCTTAATATGCAAAGCTAAAAATGTAATAAATTGTGATCAAATTTCGATCACTAGTATAAAATTAAAGTATCCAAAAAGAAATCTACAAAACTATACAGATTTATAATTTTTTTTTTGCTAATTTTTTCTAGAGCTTTGTCAATTATCTAAAATAATACATTATAAGAAATTAAAGGAACTTACTAAGTGAAGTTTAAAATTTCGAAATATACCTTGATTTTCCTTAATTATATGATTGATTATATGATTATACCTTGATTTTCCTTCGAAAATTCCTTTGAAATCTGTTAGATTACCTTCTTAGCGAATATTTGCGATTGCTGTATAATTTGTTTGGAAGTTCATTTTCGCCATTTTATTAGAGTAGTTAATATAACCTCTTTTTCATTTGTTGTTATAATAAATAAATAAGATTCTTTGAGTTTGATTGATTAGTGTATAATATAGTGTATATTTTTAGTTTCAAATCAACAATACCAGAGTTCCGTAGTTACACAACAAGAAACACTTATAGTTTGCCATGTCCGCCCGTCCGCGTTTTTACTTAGTCTCTAGGCGCTACAAAAATTGAGCATAGTTATAGACTGATATCAATCACGCCTAGAAGACTACGAAATAAAATCTTAAAAAACATTTTTATTTTGAGTAATTCCCATAATGTAAATGGCAGATGACTTTTTTTACTCGTATTTTCCATTGTGTAGGGCCTATATGGTATCGTTGGATAGATCTTTCAAAAGCACTGAGATTTCTATTCAGGGCTAAATATTAAGCTTTAGAGTGGCGTTTTTTATTAGAGTCATGCGTCCTCGCTCTCTACCAACTCTATCTTTGTTTTTGAAAATGTCAAAGTATACACGATAGTAGTATATACAATTAGAGAGATAGTTTAAAGAAAAACTATCACAGCTAATTAGAATTCAGAACCTAACGAGTAATAGTTGATCAATTTATAAAATGCACTTGGATTAGTAAAAATTTCGTTACAACTCTATAGAAAATGATCTAAAACTAGCTGTATTATATATAACTTTAAGCTAATTCAGGAAATCGCGGGATGTGGCTCACAACTGTGTTTTGTACTGTTAAAGCTAAATGGAGGCTTCTTCCTTGCAGAGGCTTGTGTTCGGCACTGAACTTGTGATAGACAACAGTCCATTATACAGTCTAACACAATGTTAAACACTTGTTAAGAACTTTGTAAAAACTCGACATGGGAAACTTTTTTGATTATTAATTAATATATATAAAAAATATTCTTGATACATATTTTAGTACTTAAGATATTGCTACTTACAAGCGTATTAAAAAAACGTACAATTATTAAAAAAAAGTATATAGAAAATGACACAATTTTAATAACTTTCCAATATTTTTTCAGTTTTTGCCTTATTATTCTTATTCAAGATAGATTTGAAGATACGATTTTTGTTTCAGAAAAATGTTAATGACAATTCAAAACGAAATAATTCTTCACATATTTTTAAAATAGTAGTTCCAAGTGCTTTTATATAATCTTTTTAGCTTTCCATTTATCTCTCAAAAATAACTCGTATTATGTATTATTGATCTTTTATACCATAGAATACTATAATATTATAGTATTTTATGTTTTATACATATAATAAATCTGTAGAAAAGTCGTGTCTGTAATACTAATAATTTCTGAAAAAAAAAAAACAAGTACACTGATATAGACTTAGACAATAAAGGGCACTGAAGTCAAATTAGTGGTTTTTAGATTTTTTGTCGGTCTGTCTGTACCTACGCCGGCAATCTACATTTAACTTTTTAAAGACATGCCAACTAACGTAAAATACAAAAAAAAGACATTTTACTCCAGTTACTAATAAAATAAATAATATAAATAACTTACTATTAAATGTTTATTTAATTAAATTCATAATTGATGTTAAAATTCTAACGTTCATTTTTATAGTATGGAAATAACGCATTTCTGATTCCAGGGCAATTTTTCCTTCATAAAGACATCGGAAGTCGTGCCCTATATAAAAAGGTTTTGCTAGACTTATGATATTAATGCGATTCTGATAAACTCACTAATGTGTTTCTGTAGCATATAAAATTGCCAAATTTCAATCATTTCCTACGTCCAATATAGACACAGATACCGAAGTGTCTCTACAAGTGATCAAGTTTTGCTAATTTTAGAACGAAATAGTATTATTGATGTTTCTAAATTCAAGACCACGCGAGGGAAGCCTCGGGTAAAAAGCTACTGCTTTATATATTTTTAAAATAGAAGTTCTAAGTGCTTTTATATTCATTTTTAACTTTCCATTTAATAATAATTCGTATCTAACGTATATGTACTGCAAATTTCAAATCATCTGCATAATAAAAGCTTTTAAAAAGTATTACGTTTTACTAATTTTTACATAGTACTATTAATATTGGTAAGCCGAAATCTTTAATTAATGCTAAGTTTATTTTAATAATAAACAATATGTATCAGAAATAAGTTTAGTATAGTATTTAATAAAAACCGTATGTGCAATAATTGATAACTTATCATTCAATATTGATAATTATTTTTATTTTTTTATGTTTATACCTATTTAGTTTTAATCGTCAGTACATTCGTACTTTTTGGATTTAGCTGGCTCCAAAAACCTAAGAAACAAATTAAAAGAAGCCTATAAAATTCAGTAACTTCTTCATCTAACTTCACAGAAACTTACTAAAAATTCACAAACCAAAATACTTTTGATAGGTTTGGATTGAATATCAACAAATTCAATTACAGAATCTCTTGAGTTGGTTGACTTTTATGTTTAATAATAAATGCAAATCTTTTAGCAACGCCGTAATTATTAATGTTTTTATAATTTTTCAGTAAAATTGTTTCGAAAATTTCTGGTTTCTCGTGGATCGCTCGCAAGGGTGGACGTGGAACAAATATTGTACGGTGCTAATTACGAATAGACAAGGACGCTGCTACAGGATAGAAAGTGATAACGAGTGTGCCTTAGTGCCTCCAATTATCATCACGGAAAGTGAAAGGATTGTGACGAGTGTGTGAGTTACTGTGATTGGACGAAACTGGGGGCGTGGGCACACTGCGCCAGCGCATCCCTCCCCCAACTACGGCTGCAGTCTAAATAGGCCTAATTCAAACCGGCATCTACCAACGGAAGCGTGCCGAGACTGTTAGTATTTGGTTAGTATGCCAAATACATTGGATAAAAAGTCACAGTATGGCTCTGACCCAAATATTCATGAACAATGGGTCAGTGCACGACAAAAAAAGAAGCGAAGTTCGTCCGACTCCGATAGTGACAACTCGACTTTGCACTCCAATCGAAGATATAAAGGCGCATGCTGTCCCTCATCAAGCGCGTTAAATGATACAATAAATGCCTTCCGTGAGGAGATAAAATCGATGCATAGCCTTTTGAATGAGATGAAGGAGGAGCAGGAAGCGAACTATGTCCAAATAAAAGCAGACGTCAGTGAAATCAAAAGTGAAATATTGGAAATAAAAAAAAAATATAGAGACTGAAAAAGCTATGGAAGATATAGAAAATAAATGTACGAAAATAGGTCAAAATCAACAAGAATATTTGGATTATTCAAAAAAACAAGAAAATGTGCTAAAGGACCTAACACAAAAAAGTGCATATCTGGATAAATATAGTAAGTCTCTGGATGAACGTTTAAGGTTATTGGAACAAAAACAGTATGATTTGGACATTGAACTGATCAATGTGGAAATGAAAGACGAAGAAAATGTTGCAGAACTGGTGAAGGATATTACCATGAAACTAAATTTAAAAAATGAGGATATTGTTAAAACATGGAGAATAAAGGGACAATACATTTAAATAATAAACCAAAACCTATAATTGTATCATTACAATCAGGGAAGCAAGATTAATGTGGATTAAAAAAGGGGGAAGGCGACGGCAATGACTAACCACACAATATACAATAATAATAATAATAATAATCTACGTATATACATTAATGAACGGTTAACTCGCCAAACGCGACAACTATTTTGGTCTACTAAAGTGCAGCTTAAGGATAAGTTTAAGTATATTTGGATACAGAATGGTAAAATATTATTACGAAAAAATGAGCAAGAGAAAAAAGTTGAAAGTGTAGGATGTGAGAGTGATATAAATACAATTATTAAGAACTTGGAAAGTAAAAATACTGAGTAAGTCTTTAATTATTACACATTTACTTGGATTAATGGACTTTCAAGATATTGAATATAAGAAATTTGTTAACTTACAACTATGGCAAAGCTACTTAGTAAAAAATTAATAATTCAATAAATTTCATACATATAAATATTCGTTCGTTAAGAAAAAACTTCAACGAACTCTCTATTCTTATAAATAATTGCTTGACAAACCTAGATGTAATTTGTCTCACGGAAATAAATATCAAAAAGGATGAGGTATATCAATTTGAGGTGAAAGGTTATCACTGTTACTCTTACATTAGAGAAGAAAAACGAGGAGGTGGAATTATCATATATGTGAAAAATAGCATGCACTTTGAAATCCTTCAAAACAATACCCAAACATTGTATTGTGAAATTATAAAAGGGCAGTTGAAAATTGAAGACCGCGAAATATACATGTTAGTTACATATAGACCGCCATGTTCTTTTTTTTGGGCCGGGGTTGCTGCGGCCTTGTTTTTCCCTTTTTTTTTTAGGGGGGGCCCGTGGGGGCTTGTTTTTTTTTAACTCACATAAATACAAAACTCTTTTATTAACGAAATAGAATCCATAATACGCACGATACCATCTCGTAAGGAGATTGTCTTTATGGGAGATTGTAATATCAATATATTGGAGGATGCAATGGATAACTCGTCAAGTCTTTACTTAAATACCCTTAGTGACTTAGGCCTACAGTGTGGAATTCGAGATGTAACACGCGAGGTGGTGGTTGCGGAGCGGCGGGTAACGTCATGCATCGACCATGTCTTTGTGCGTACTGCTAGCCCGAATAGCCTAGTTGCGTATGTATTATTGTGCAGTGTCTCTGATCACTACTTAACGGGACTTACTATGGTGGGAGGGAGACGGGACAAAGTTTCATTACCTCGTGAAGTATTGGACAATAATGCTATAAAATGCAAATTACATACTGTGGATTGGAATGATATCGCTAAAATCAGTAATCCTACTGAGCAATATTACAAACTCTGTGAAATTTTTAGCAACATTTACGCAACCTCTAGAAAAGTAATACGTAGCACGTCCCGTGAAACAAAGGCCTGGGCGAGTACTAAACTAGGTCTAATGATGGAACACAAAGATAAATTATTTAAAAAATGGAAATCTAACCCAAAATCCTCAACATTGCGCTTAGAGTACACTACATATCGGAATAAAGTTTGTCGGATGATTAATGTTACTAAAAATTCACAAAAACGAGAAAGTATTAGCGATTGTAATGGTGACATGCGTAAGGTGTGGAGCTGCATAAATAATTGGTTGGGTACGTCAATGTCAACTCCAGATCATTTTATAGAAAAATACTTTTTAAAAGATAAGGTAACGATGGAACACATCTGTAATAACTTTTGCTTAACTTTTACACAAGAAATTGAACAATTAAAATCGAACCATTTATGTCATAGATATTTCTTTGATAGAAATAGTTATGTAAAAGATTGTAATGTAAGTTTTTATTTTAGAAAAGTCGAGGGGAAGGATGTATGTAAAGTTATTGACTCCATGGACTGCAACAAGTCACCAGGTATTGACGGTATACGGGTACGCGACTTAAAATTAGTAAAGGAGTATATCAGTCCTATTTTAGCTTCATTAATAAATAATTGCATTTGTAAAGGTATTTATCCTGATCATTTGAAAACTGCAATCATCCGACCTATTTACAAACATGGATCACACAAAGAATATACGAACTACAGACCAATTGCAATTTTAAGTATCGTAAATAAAATATTTGAAAAAGTATTGATCAAACAAATCGATGTGTTTCTTGACAAAAAATAAAATTTTAACAGAATTTCAATTTGGGTTTAGATTAAACAAAAGTACAACAACGGCCTTGACAGCATTTTCATATGATGTAAACGACTCGTTAAATAATAAAAATATCGTAGTAGCTCTGTTTATAGATTTCAAAAAGGCGTTCGATACATTGGAACACGAGTGCTCGTTGCAGACCATGGATGAATGTGGAATAAGAGGTCCAGTGAAAACTTGGTTTAAAAAATATCTAGAAAATAGAAATATTGTTGTTCGTGTAAATCGAGTGGATAGTGGGATAGGAAAAGTAAAATTTGGTGTACCGACTGGCTCTGTGTTTGGCCCGATCGGATATATAATGCACGTCAACAGCATGATAAATGTCATCAAGAATTGTAGAACATACATGTATGCTGACGATACCTGTCTTGTGTATAGTGGAAAAAATAGTAGCCAGATACAGTTAAAAGTGCAGCAGGATTTAAACAATTTATTAAAGTGGTCCCATGACAATGGCATTATTATGAACTTGAATAAAACCAAATTTATGGTAATATCATCACCCTATAACCGTTCTAGAAAAACAGTAGATATAGCTCTTATGGGTCACACTTACGATTGCCTGCACACTGACCAGTCAAGCTCTGTCTGCCGTTGCGAAAAGCTACAGTGTGTAACGAACTATAAATACTTAGGGTTGGTTATAGATAATCGTTTCTCATGGGACTTGCATGTTGAATTTGTGTGTAACAGGCTTAGGACAGTACTAGGTAAACTGAATCATATAAAATATGTTGTGTATCGAGGAATCATGTATATGCTGTATTATGCCCTAGCAGACGCAACGATCGGATATGGCTTAGGTGCATATGGACTCACATTCCGAACATATCTTAACAAAATAAAGACTATACAGATAAGGTTTTTAAAGATATTGTTAGTTGGTACTAAAACTAAAATTGCTATAGATAAAAATTATGAAATGTTATTTAAAATTTGCAAAATTGTTCCCATAGACATGAAAGTAAAATCCATTATCATATTAGAACAGCATGGTATGGTAACATTTAAGACACCTAGGACATATATAATGCCGAAGCGCCAAATTACTCAAAGAAGGAAATATCTCATACCTAGGGCTGAAAATTACTTTGGACGGCGTACAAGGCAATGGATAACTCCAACTTTGTGTAATAAGGAAGCGGATATATATGAAGAAAGCATAACAAAGGCCCAGCTCAAATCAATCTTGAGGAAACATTATCTGTCGTTGTGTCCATAGTGGTGAATGTTTCTTTAATTATTTTGTAATTTAGTAGCTATAAGTACCAGATATTGTTAGTAGGAGTGTGAAATGATGAACTGTTGTGTTGCCGACAAACTGGCTTACAGTTTGGCAAAATTTAAAATATAAATAATGTACACTTTTTATAAGAATAAATTAAAAAAATATATATCAACTCATTTTATACTTAATAACTTTAAGATGCCAGAACTAGAATACTCCAAATTTGCTGTGTGTGAAGTATAAGGTTTCTTTGAAAAGCATATGAATAATCAAATAATGATTTTTATATTTTAAAAACGTTTTTCTAGTTTTTGTTTTATAGCGTTGGGTAGCAAACAAGCACAGTACACCTGATGGTAAGCGGATGCTTTGGCCCATATACAACCATATTTATCCTCAATTAAGAATCAAAATGCAAATGCGTTATCACCCTTGAGGACTAAGACAGAATGCCTCGATTCCAATAAAAAGGGTCTCCGGTTCTCTACACTCACCATACGAAACACAGCAGCGTTACGCTGCTATTTCACGCTGGTATTCAAGTTCAATCCCCAGAAGACACATGTTTACGCGTTTACCACTAAAAAGAACCCGTTTGTCGTATCTCTTCGTTTTCCTCGCACTCCCCTTGTTGCCTCAGCCAGCTCAAGCCGACGGGCAGTTTCATGATCACATGGAAGAGAAGGCCAAACTGGCCTCTAAAAAGCTTGGTGTGCTCAGTAGAGCGGGGCAGTATTTCATACCAACACATCGCCTGCAACTTTGCAAGGCGTAGGTTCGGCCTCACATTGAATACTGTTCCCGTCTTTGGGCCGGGACTCCCCAGTGCCAGCTCCGTCCATTTGACCGCGTCCGAGCTCTTTCTGATTGGTTCAGTGGTTCACACTGACGCTGCGAAGAGATGTTGCATATCTTTGTGTATTCTATTGTATTTACCACGGAGAGGGCTCAGAGTGATTGTTTGGACCAATTCCAGTCGCTCAATTTCACCATCGCACATCTCGATGTCACTCGACATACCATCTATACACACAATCGGAAACGAACTAGGGAGGGACACAGAAAAAAATCGCTAGGCCTTATAAGCTTAGTGAGGCAGCACGGAAGAGGTACAGAAGGCTGACAGCTGAGATAGGAGCCGAAGAAACCCTCTCTCACTGCCAGAAGTCTTGAGACGAATTTCCTCTGCCCAAACCTCCCCCGGTTCCGAAGACGAAAAACCGCAGTCAGTCTGAGGTGTCCCCCAAAGACCAGCCCTGGAAATCTATGAAGCTGGCAAGGGGGGAGAAGAAGCTCAGCTTCAGTGCCGTAGCTGGTTCCGCGCGTGTAAGAATTTGAATGCTATGAGCGTGGAGTAGATGCGGCTGGTCCACTGGGCACTAACACAGGCTATCGCTAGGATGGCCTGTGGCGCGCAGCCTTTGAAATACCAAGCTAGGTATTAGTAAGTAGACCATGGTGTATGTTCCACACAGCTGTAGCCGAAGATACGACGAAGATACGTCATATAGAGTATATAATATAATTGTATATAGCACTCTTTTGCGTCTTCTTTATCAGCCCGTTAAAGTACACTG